GAAATTTGAATTTGTCGACGGGTGGAACATTGCAAAAGACCATAGCGGTCATCGTGAATTTGTGCAACCTCTGGCCTAGTTGTGAGTTTTGGGACAACTGACCTGGCAGGGGTTGAGATCAAAACGGATGCGGCGGGCTCTTGCGACTTCTGCTGAAAATGACTATGCTGAGTGCTTCGGTGATGGTTGGCGCATTCCGAACCAAAAAGTCCTTGCCAACATGTGGGCGCAGCCGACTGAAAGGCACTAATCCATGAAGAGAGACGGTGGAAAAGCGAACCACTTTGTTCTGCCGATGTGTGATGTGCAAGTGGCTCATGAAAGGAACAGGCGAAATTTGAACGATCTTCCGCAGGAACAAAATGTATGCTCCATGGTTCAAAGCACTGGTCCTCACTTGACTGTAGCATCGGAGTTCCTGTATGTGGCCTGCAAAAATATCCGGTTGCCCATGGTTCAAATGTCATGGGATCATAGTCATCTCTGGGAGCAGTCACTCCACTCTGAGCATCATAGGAATCCTGGGAGACCTTTGTACCATAGTCCTGTGGTTGTAATTGAACCGTTGGATCTACGCTTGCGCTCATTCCTTCGGCTGTCACGCTGGTTTGTGTAGGAGTCGATGAACTGGTCAGACCAGGGTTCACAAAACGCCAACACCAAGGCTCCCACAAAGCTGTATCCTCTAAAGTCTGCCCATATCCTGCATTCGACTCATACCGTGCGTAGTCCTGAGCCCAGGGTTCAAAGAAATCCGGCATCGGACGGTATGACGGGTCAGAGCACCCTGGCAAGGTCTGAGGCTTATCATAGAGCAAAAAGGAGTCCGGCTGATCATGGTCTTCATGAGGTAGTACAATACCCATCTGGCGTCGTCCACAAAGTGCCCACGTGTATAAATATGAAGACCGAGATGTACTCATATGATCCAACACTGAGATTGCCACTTTTAAGATGCAAGAACTCCCTTCGTCCTTGAGGCATCTAAGGATAGCAAAACGGCCGTGACGGAGAAGTACCTTTTCAGGTTGTATCTCTTCCTTTAGCTGTGGGCACCATGTAGAATCATCTCGAAACAAATGCCGCACATAGCCATCGCGCACCCCAACGTGGGCTCTCACGACCCAATCAGCACCACCGCAGTGGCAACGGGCGCGCCACGCGTAGGCTTGAGCCCAACGCCTCTGGCCTTACTACTAGGAGCAAGGACGCTATTAGGAGGAAAGGGCATTGCTGCTGTAACAAGGACGCTTCTAGGGGCTCCTGGCCATACTACCAGGAGCAAGGACGCTACTAAGAGGAAAGGGCATCGCTACTAGTAACAAGGACGCTACTAGGGGCTCCTGGCCTTACTACTAGGAGCAAGGACGCTACTAGGAGCAAAGGGCGTCGCTACTAGCAATTTGAGGCCAAAGGGGTTGAACGAAATCTAGCCGGGCGGGGAGGCGTGCAGCGGCGGCGGCAGCAGCAGACCACCAAGCAGCAGCAGCAGCAGCAGACCCCCCAACAGCAGCAGCACCCAGCAGCAGCAGTAGCAGCAAACCAAGAAATTGTGATGCTGGACATGACATGCTGCCTCCAAATCAGTTCAACACGAGTTCTAAATTTGGCCATCGTTTTGCACCGCTTTCGCGCCGGTTTTTATTCTACATGGCCAACTCAAAAAAGCAGCAGCAGCAGCAGCAGCAGCAGCAGCAGCAGAGCAGCAGCAGCAGCAGCAGAGCACCAAGCAGCAGCAAACCACCGAGCAGCTTTATCCATCCAGAACACCAGCAGCAAATAAACTGCACAGGGGGAGGTTTCAGGTAGTCATCACTACGTCCTCCCTGAAGCCCACACGCTCCCCCACGCGCAGGATGGAGTTGAAACCCAGGGGGGGGTCCATAAGATTGATTTATGTTATTTGAGGTTTTTGAGGGACGTCCACCCCATCATTTAACTTGCTATCGCAAGAGCAACTCCTGCTAGCTGAGGCCAGCTTTCGTGACAAGGACGCTACTAGGGGCTCCTGGCCATACTACCAGGAGCAAGGACGCTACTAGGAGGAAAGGGCATCGCTACTAGTAACAAGGACGCTCCTACTAGGAGCAAGGACGCTACTAGGAGCAAAGGGCATTGCTACTAGTAACAAGGACGCTACTAGGGGCTCCTGGCCTTACTTCTAGGAGCAAGGACTACTAGGAGCAAAGGGCATCGCTCTTTTTTAATAACAAAATATGACAAGATCCAAGGACTTGCCGGATCCCTTCCAGTCAACTTCATGTGAGAAAGCCATGAACGTTCAATTTGCTTTCAGAGTTCTGGGGATCTCGGCTTGGAAATTCCCTTGCTGCCGACAAACTGCACCAATATTGCCCATGGCCTTAGAGCAAAAAAAACCGCAAAGTCCGAAGAGTGATGCTGCGCCCGCCTCCGTAGAGCGCGGGTCCAATTTGTATGCCTGAAGACACAGCGGGTCGAAGCTACGAACACCCTCACCACCCTGCCTTCCATCACAAAACATGTTTAAAAGAAGTGACACACGTGTGATTTCTCTTTCTGCATTTCCTTGTTCTTCAAATCTGCATCTCGCCTTCTCCGAATACTCTAGGGCTTTTGCAAAGTTTCCAGCCTCAGTGGCAGAGAGTATACTATATCCACAGTGGTCAGTAGCTGGGCTGTGCCAGGGCTGCCAGTGCTCAGCACCAGGCGGCCAGGTACAGTGAGCCAAGATTTTGGTGACTGGGGAGGTTCTCGGGATCCAAGCTGGCAGCAAACGCAGTCCATGTGTCTTTGCTAGCAAACAAATAGGCTATGTGTCTAAAGTGTAGGTATCCAAGCTCACCAGCATCTTCCATCTGTCCCTAAAGTATCAACGAGTCAGGCAAAAGAAGGAGAAGCACCTGAGTACATCAAAGTACTTCTCTGCAGCTCCACGCCAATCTCCTGTGGCCTGAAAGGACGTGCAAGAGTTCGCTGAATACAAGCCAGTCCAGTGAATCAAAGGCATATGACGATTCCATAAAAATCCTTAGAGTGCACTGTTTTAGTTTAAAGTCTTTGCCTTTAGCCTCGCAGCCATGTCCAGCAAAGTTGATACCTGGCAGGAAAGTTCAACCTCCAATCCACAATCCGCGAGACCCAACTTGGCTTCATTTTCCACTGACTCATCAACTTCACTTCTTTTCCCTTGTGGTCCGCAACTCATGAGCCCGTCTGCGGCCCTGCGGCGGCCCGGATGCGGCCCTGTAGAGTCCCTCACCTTGACGCCATCTCTGGACTGCTTTCATCTTGCTCAAGAGGCTGAAGACGCAAAGATGTTGCCATGTGATGTTGGACGGAATCCTTGATGCCGCCGCAAGTTCGCTCAATCTCACTGTGTGCCTCGTCTGCAAGCTCTGTGTGTTGGCGCAGGTTGTGTTGTACCAACTCCAACTCCTTTTCCAACCTCTGACGCTCGCTGGTGACCTGATTCAGTTGCTGGGTGTAACTCATCAACTGCTGCTCCAACCTATCCCGTGTTTCCGCTCCGCGGGCAAGCTCCGAATGTTTTCTTTCATAATCTGCCTTCAATAATTTGCATTCCTTGCCAAGCTGTGTCTTCAGCTTTCGTGCTTCTCCCACTTCTAAAGCAAATTGCTGCTTTCGCTGCCCTGCAAGTTCAAGAGCAGCCTTGATTTCAGCAAATTTTGTCAAAGTCTGGTTCTCATACTTGTCCTCCAAGTCTGCCATCTTCTGTGCACGATCATTCACCTCTGCCTGGTGTTTGGACACCTCTGAACGGAGTACGTCGCAATCTCTTGTTATCTGGTCAAGGCTTTGCTTGTGCTTGCGATATCTGGAGGCCCAGTCTGACACATTCTGGTCAAAGAGCTTCTTCCGCAACACAGGCCCTCCGGTTGCAGAGCTCACACTGTTACCTCCCATACTCAAGCTGGGCTGCTCAGCGTCCCTTCCACCACCTGCCGGTGCATTGACTAACCTGGCACTTACAGGTGCTGCAGAGGCTGGCGGCTGTGCATAGCCGAAGGCTCGACGCTCACCATCGGACGTTGCCATGGACATCTCGCGTGTTCTGCAGAAAACTACTAGAATGTACCATGTTATAATTCAAAAACTAAAGTATATGTGTATATACACTGTACACATATAATTGACCGTGTGTGTATTTGTTTGTATACTCATGTGACACCTTTGTGACTACATGTCTGCACATGCCGCCGTCCAAACATATGCCAAAAAGAACATGGGAAGCACTGTTCTGAAACTGCAAGCATCAAGCATTCATTTACTTTCTCTTCTCTGCTTCTGTTGACCTTGTACAAGTGTGGTCTTGTCTCAAACTGGCTGGCAGAAAGAGTGCTTCAGGTAGTTCGCACGAAGCATGGATCCTGGGCGTTGGCTGCGCAAGCTTTGCTCAGGCTTGCCTGGCTGGTGCCCTTTGGCACAACCTGACAAAGGATGCGGAACCAATTGCAAAGCTTTTGAAGCTGGTTGGTTTCCTCGTTGATGTTATCAGAGCGATCCTGGCGCCTGGCCTGACCGTAGCTCATGAACATTGGACCTCCAGGGTACAGCCAGTTCATGACAGCACATGGCTACTTGGAACCTTTTGCTGATTATATAGCTTTGATCATCCATCGTTATTAAACAGAACGACAAAAGGATGTGTAAACAAAAAAACGGGAAGCAGAGGGACTGGGGGACCTCTTTAAAAGAAAACACTCGTAAGATCACACCAATGCAGACTGCCTGGAGCTGAAATGGCCTGCATGACCTTGGAACTTGTCAACGAGTCATCTGGCAATTTGTTGTGTACAAACATATCTTGCGGTTGCACACTGGGAAGAAGCAACACTCCAGCTGAGGCCTACACTAGAGCGCCCAAAGCCCTTGACACACTAATTACTGGCTATGGGCCAACAAAGAGAATAGTGCCCGGCCCCCGACAAAGCTATCTCAAACACAGGTTTGTTGATTCTCGCACTCCTCTCCTGTTGTTGTGAACGCAATGACAGAATCAGGAAATGGTGCTGTTCGATCTGCTAACTGTCGCACTTGTGGTGGTGGTTGTCATTCCTCAAGCTTTATTTACAAGTTTGGTTCCTCCCTGCGATGATTCGAGACCCGCGCAGGGCTGCGTTTTTTGGCACCCTCAATGGGCTGAGCAGTCTAAGACCAGAGTCCAGAGCAAAATGAGTAAAAGACTTGTGTACCTAGGATAACCTATGGTATGAAGACAAACAATTGGTAATCTATGGCCCTACGGTATGGCTTTGCCAAGACGGGAAGATGGGTCAAAGAAATGACCAAAGCAAGTCGCAATGCATCCAACCGAAGCTTTCGCGACGTGCAAAGCTCTTCAAAAAGACTTAATCGCCATAGGCCTTACAGCCTTAGTAGCACTTGTCTCAGAACCAGCCGAAGATGATCCATAGCAAAATCAGAAATATAAGCATCGCTGACCTCGGAATTACTCCTTCTGAGATGAACCGCACTCACAAATAGGTCATAGAAGCAAGCAAATGCAGGCAACACATTCGCCAGACCAAACAACCTGTACGTCACAATCATATGATTATGTACATTTGCATATGATCAAGTTGCTTTTGTGGTCCTTAGTATATAAGCCCCGTGTACTTAGGCGTGATTGCATTGAAGCAACGCAATGTACAGCCACCTCTTTTGCCGCCTCATAGTCTCTTCCATGATTGAAATGTATTCCATTGGCGATCTTCCTTCAGTGTTCTTACTCAATTGGACCTAGGAATGCCATGTCCAAACAAAAGCCATCTCGAACATGTCCTCTCCTGTGTAAGGATCCACCTCTGGAAGAAGCTGTGCGGCGGGTTTTTTCACAAGGAGCTTTTGCACTTCAAACCTCGAGCAAGACATCCAATCTGGTCACATTACGATGCCAATTCACGCTTATTCAGCATTGCTGTCCGAAATCAGGATCGCGCCAAACCAAAATATAAGTGTATCATGGGATTTTGGGTCAACCTATGCAACTCGTCAATTTCCTAATACATTGCTCTGCTAACCAAAACATACCAAAACAACTTATCCAGCCAAAACAGTTCTTGCACCGCAAAAACCTCCCACTCTGAGTTTCGTGAAAAAACGGCCCAACCCTTGAGGGGGGAGCTGGAAAATGCCATGAAGTCTCAGGAGCAGCACAGCTGGGCCGTCATCTTTGGACCCTTTGCTTTCTTCCTCTTTCAGCTCCGCTTCTGGCTTTGCACGACCTCTGGACACATTCAAGGTGCTGAACGTTGTTAGATTCCACAAAGGAATCAAAGCTAGAAGTTCGCATGCTTCGTGTCACACATTGGATTGCCCGGACCTTTTATGGGTGTGCGTCTTCTCATTCCTCCATTTGAGGCAGCCTCAAGTAGAACTCAGACTCTGATGGCGTAATCTTCAACATTCTAGCAGTTTCAACTGTGGTTCCGAGAATTGCGCACGTGCCATGTACACATAGGGCAGCTCATGCTTAAAAAACATGTTGGCAAAACTTGCAAGACTCCGGTGTCACTGTTGACACCCTCATTAAGCCAAATTGCTGACGCTCTGCAGGACATGCAGTCGAAAGGGTTCTGAGGACCCTGGGTGCAGAACTGGGCTGCGTCACTGTAGCCTTGGCTTTCGAGGCCGCTCTCATCGCTCAGGGGCATTGACTGAGCTTGTAGCCTTGCCAGTATAGACCCCGCAAGGTGTCCTCCTCCGGTGGAAAGATCGACCTCAACATGCGCAAGCCGAGACGGCGAGACTTATCCGATGTGACATGCAAACACAACAGGCTGTACAGCGTAGATGTCAAAAGTAATGCAACGTCTGCGTCCTGCATGTCTGTATCATGCACATGCATCCGCCAAAAACGGCATGCCTGAGCTTGTGAGACCAAAAGTGGCCTGAGAGAAAAGTCAACATGTACTGTGTGTGTATGTGTGAGTAGACCACGGCTGGCAGCCCTCAAGGCCAGCGCGTCCCATGCGCTCCTGTCACCGCTCTCCTGGTGTCAGGGTGCATGCGGGGTGGGCACAATAGAGCCCAAACACAGGTTATCAGCCCGCATGCTCACAACTGAGCGGTGAGAACGCATGGCCCTAAAGAAGGCCAAGCCAAATGGATCAAAGCTGGGGGGTGACAACTTTTCCAAGCAAGTCCAGCGGCCAAAGGTCGCAAAGCGGCAAAAAGATCGCTGTGGTGGGGGGCAAAGCTAAAGACCTACTCATCCAGCGCCGCCAGTGGTGCTGCCTGGCGGGCCATGTTCTATTTGTGGCTTCAAAAGCGCCACTGCTGAGCCAGCGTCGCCGGCCTTGAAGTGGGGGGTGTGAGTAGACCATGGCTGGCAGCCCTCAAGGCCAGCACGTCCCATGCGCTCCTGTCACTGCTCTCCTGGTGTCAGGGTGCATGCGGGGTGGGCACAATAGAACCCACACAAAGTATGTATTATATATAATGATGTAGTACTGTAGTACAGTATATATAATTACATCTTATCGAATCTTATACATAATGTTCACATCATATTTCGTTGAATTTCCAAACATAGAAGTTGACATGTGTACTGTCTGAGTCGAAGCAAAGCGACCACCAGGTTGGCACCGAGGGGGCCTTGATGTCGCTTGAGGGGTTCCGTAAGAGTGCCGCGACACGGATCACCAAGTCGCTCTCCGTGCCTCAAACCAATTCAAACCTAGGCATCCTGTGCTGCAAACATCCACCCAATACCAAACCAGCGCATCATCAGCTAGCTTGGCAATCTAGTAGGTTCGAGGCCATCGCTATTAGGTTGGCAGCTACGAGCGACCGGAGTCAGCAACTCCATTCCAGCCTTTCCACGGCACCAGGACTTGCGGCCAAAACATTCCATCAAAGTAAGCATGCCCATCATAGCAGTATGGCCCAAATCCACCCAGCATCCTTACAAGAACCCAAACAGCACAATGTATTCAAACAAATCCTAGTAAGCAAAGGTGTGGAGAAGCAAGTTTTCTCTGAGACCGAGTGGCTGGTCCCTTTCCCAAGCGATTTCAAGAATCTAGCCAAAGGGTCCCTGTTCCACACCGCTAGTAAATCAACCTTCTCTTCCTGAAAGAAAACTAGAAGCTAGTAGTAACAGGTGCCTTACTGGTAGTAACAGGTGCCTTACTAGTAGTAACAAGAAGCTAGTAGAAACAAGTGCCTCACTAGTAACAGATGTCTTTCAGACTCTGAACCATTGCAAATCCCCGCGTCTTCCCACAACTTTGCAACGTGAGCTCGTTCCAAGCATCGGAACATGACAAGAAGCCCTCAGGGCATGAAAGACTGATTCCTTGGTGCTGTATTGATTGACCACTTCCGCTGTGAAGAAGGGGTACTTGAAGGATACCCGCGTCAGCAGAATACGAACCCGACCAGAAAGGCTTTTGTGTGCATTGTCTGGCATAGCCTGCCATCAGCTGCTGTCCAAAGGCCATAAAGTTGGGAGTGAGAGCACTTCAATCATATGCGTTCTATAGTGTTTCGAAATGCTTCCAAAGCCTTTTGCAGCACATCTTCCGCTGCAGGAAGCATTGCAAAAGGATTGTATTTGCATTCAGGCTGTTTCCTGAGCTCGAGCTCACGAGCTGTCTAGAGTTTGAATATGGACATAGATTAATATAGGAAATTTTGCATCAGAACGAAAGTTGCACACAAAATCGCTGAATCGGGAAGTTTTAGTCAACTGACCAAAACCATTCTTTGCATTTCTTTGCTACTTTTGATAAATTGTTGTATGATATGTCTTTGCTACTGGCCAAAGTGTCTGGACTGCTGATATGATTGAGCTTTAACATATTGTAGTCAGAATATTGCTTACAGTGCCGGGCCACGCCACGACCATTTCGAAGACATCTCTGACATTCAATCCGGTGCCCAAAGCAGTAGCCACCAGTGCGCCACCGCTTGAGCCGCTGAAGCTCAGATTCTGAGGGAAGTTGGTCTCGACATTCTGGCGGTGCGATAGCGGTGTGATAGCGGGATCAAATGGTCGTTCTTGTCTCAAAGAGATGAATAACGAAGGCAAGGGCCCCTTTAGTGAGGTCATTCAAAATGGAACCTCATTAAAGGAGGCCTTCCCTTCGTTATTATTCTCTTTGGTCTTGTTTCCTGCTGTGTTAAGACAGCGTTCTTGTGAAGAGTGTTCAGGGATTGGTGGAATTCCTGAGGCTGCTAGTGGCAAGTGTTTCATGCTGCCCCATGACTCATGCCCATGCCCCAATGTTTTCTTGGTGTCTCTGTCAATCTCCTCAGGTGTCACGTCGTCAGGGACCATGTGCTCCCGCAACCAAGCAGCGACCCCAAAGTGATAGCAATACCTGACGGGGGTGACGGCCAACAAGACTTTCATCCCAGACCATGGCACTGACTATGGCAAGGTAGGGCACATCCATCCGCTGGAATCAAAGGCAATGCTGACCTCGTCAAGAAAATGGGCATGTTACGCCGTGATCTGTACAAGAGTTGACTGTCTGATGGTTTCGTTGATGGATGGAGTCTGCAAGAGATGTTCGCACTTCTTTCATTGAGATCCCAGCTTTCCGGACGGACTGTGCCTTGGCCTCACTCTTGCCTTTGAGGAAAGCAACATAGTACAAAATGCAGGATCTCACAGATACCGAACTGAAGCAGGAACTAGGTATATAATCGGGTTCGGATTTAATTTAGGATCTTTTTTTGTTTTGTTTTGGGATTTTTTTTGTTTTTCGTGTTTCGTGGCAGGTGCAGTACTTTGTGGACCTTGAAATGCTACTTTGTGGACCTTGAAATGCACATTTCGTGGCAGGCGCAGGACTTTGTCGATGCTGAAGTGCGGATTTCGTGGCAGGCGCAGGACTTTGTGGATGTTGAAGTGCAGATTTGGTGGCAGGTGCAGGATTTTGTGGGACTTGGAGTGCAGATTTCGTGGCAGGCGCAGGACTTTGTAGACCTTGA